GCGCCGGTGCGCCCCCGTGCCGGAGCCCACCGGTGGGGATGGAGGGCCGGAGCCCCCCCAGCACATCCCTCCTCCTCCTGACCCGCCGTGGGTTTGTGCCCGGAATCCCGGCGCGCTGCTCGGGGAGCTCCGAAAAGCCAAACTCAGGTTTTTGGTGCAGAAGGATCCAGGTCGGGGGTCTGCAGGGCAAACCCCTACACTGGGACGGGGAGCGGGGGGGGGACACACATCCGAGGGCTTTCAATCATGGCAAATCCCGTGGATTTTCTTCCTTCCACAGCCCGCGTCTCTCTCCCCGATGGTATTTTGGGCCACCCGATGATGACTCTTGGCTCGCCGTAGCTCTCTTTGGAAAGTTTTGAAACTTTGGGGGCACCCGGATGATTTGCACAGGATGATCCCCCCTGTTCGGGACCAGCGTCTCCGGCACCGAGCGCCCCTCGGGTCGGGCTCATGTAGGGGTGAGGATGGGCTCAAAACCTCCCTGATGGGCTCAAAACCTTCCCCATGGGCTCAAAACCTTCCCAAAGGTGGAGACGAAGGGATGAAGGACAGTGAGGGCGGATGAGGCTGGGGGCGGCCCCGACGGCAGTTGCCCCAGCGGAGCTGAGCCGCAAACCCAGGTTTGGGCCAGAAAAATTGCCTCAGGGCTCCCCGGGAGTCACTCGTGTCTCGCCCCCGGGTCCGAGTGGGGAGAAGATGCTGCGGTTCTTGCGGCGCCTCGGCGAAGGTCGGGGGGGGACGACACACACACATCCGAACGGGCTTTGTGCCCCGTAAGCCGCAGGGCTTGGTCAATTCATTAGGGAGAAGAAAAATCGGCTGGGCATTTCGATAAATGAGAAACGCTGGTTTTCCTGCCCAAAACACACCTTGGCTTATTAATTAAATCCCCACCGCGTGTGGCAGCGGGATCGAGCCCTTCCCGTTCCCATCGCGCTGGGTGAGCTTTGGACATCCTCATCGCGGTCCCGGACGTCCCTGCGCCCGGCGCCGCACAGATCCTCCGCTCGAGTGCTCTCACCCCACGAGACAGGGGAGGTGGTGGGCAGACGGGGACCCCCTCGGCTATAGAGAGGCAGAACAAGTGCCACTGTGAACCCCAAACTCTGGGGAAGCGACAGGGCCGCCCCCGGAGAGGGGGATCCGCGGCATCTGCATCCCTCGGACGGGGATGCTTTGAGACGGGGGGCAGATGTGGTATTGTCAGCGCAGGCGAGGGGTGAGGGGGGTGCGGGAAGAGGGTTTGAAGTGGGGTTGTGGTGGGAAAAGCTGGGTTTGCCTTGCAGGGGCCCCCCCCCTTTCCCCCCAGCAGCGAGCATCCTCCCTGCGCCCCGGCGGCTTCGCAGCATCCCAGAGGGAGCGCCCAGCCGGGCTCCGCTAAAGCGCGAGCAGAAAAGCATGGAGGAGGAGGTTTTTCCAAGCACAATATTCGTGACGAAGCATCAAGAGATCTCAGCACGTGCCAACGCGCTGACGCCTTCCCCAGCCCTGCGTGGGCACCCCCCCGCGCACGGGGAAGGGTCGGAGGGGGGGATGCGCATCCCTGAGAGCATCGCTGGGCTCG